AAAAATCCTGGTTACGCATGCTCAATTACTGCGCAGGCTCAATTGTCTGAGGATTGAAGTAGATGCGAGTTGGAGACGAAACAAAGCAATTAAATCCTGTAAATAATGTTGTTTCGGATGCTTAAAAATAGCACGCTTGAATAAATAGCTGCATGCATAGTTTATTGGGTATCTTACTGCGTACATAGTTTAAAAAATCATTGGGTTTTTTTCTATGTATGTATAGAGAATTTTCTGGTGGATGGAGGATGAGGCTAGCCTTGGCAAGAGCTTTGTTTTCGAAGTAAGTATATAACTAGATATTTATCTATAATTAGTTGATTCAATTTCAACCTCAGTTTAGATACTTCAATTGTGAATCATACTTCTAATCTTAATCCTAAAGCAATCAGAACTGAAACCCTAATTCTTACCCGTTATTCTAATCCTAACCCTAATCCTTGTCAGGCCATTTTTGGATACCATCTTTATGATATTACTGCCTGGAAGTAACTTAACAAAAGTCGTGCGGAGGCACCTGAGGGAGCCCGCGGTTATGTTGGCATGAATATAATAATATCATCCATATATAGCATCCATAGGCATATTGCTTCTTAGTGCACACGTAAAAATCTTACAACTTGTCAACAAGATGTGGTCGCAACAGGCTTGTAGCAAGCTTGTCAACAAATCGTAACAATGCTGTAATTTTATGAAGTTGCTATTTTACAAATTGTTAAATTCCAGGACGATAACAAGTTTTTGGAACAACTTGTAACAAATCTGTTGAACTCAACGACATTGTAGCAAGTTGTCAATAAGCCGTTGACAACTTCTCAACAAGCTCGGAACAAGCAGTACGAACACATCCTGTTGATAAGTTGTTCGAACAACATTGCTACAAGTACTCGGGCAGCATTGGAACACGACATTATGATTTTTCTGTTTACGATCAAATTACCAGAAGAACCGAAGTCGTCAAACGCACGATCCCCAGCCGCTAACTACACGAACCCGAACCGAACCGAACGGAAGGGTGAAGTTACTTCCAGGCAGCACTGTAACTGGAAACTCACCATGTTGAACTCTAATTTTACTAAGAAAACTGTGCACTGTTAAATGTTTTTATTTTTTATTTTATAGACCTGACTTACTACTTCTTGATGGTATGTGTGCCACTAATTGAACATTTTTCCTAGCTTTTTTTATTTCGGTGAATTTTTTAATATACATGTATTGTTAAAGTCAAGTGGAGAAAAATATTGTGTTGGCAACGGTTGGTTTGGTGAGATACCTATTTTGACCAGATTACTGAACTTCGCCCCTCGGTACGCATAAATAATGACTAGTATAATCCCTTCCATTGGAAAAAAACAATATCCTACCACCCTAGCCACCAGGAGCAGTTCCATGTTCCCCAGAAATATGCTGCATGCCCATCGCTCCCTTTACACACATGAAAACGCAAGTTATTTCAGGTCTGCAAACAAGTTGTTACAACTCTGTTCACAAGCTGTAAAAACTGAAACTGAAAACTTAATACTTGACACTGCTTGTAGTTAAACTTGACACTGCTTGTTCCCAGTTGTTGACAAGTCTGGAACAAGTTGTTATCATCTTGTAACACGATTGGTGAGGCCAACAGACTCGCAACAAGTTGATAACAATAAGTTTGTAGCAACTTGTTACGAACAGCCTGTATTAGTCTTGTTGAAACAACTTCTAGCAGGTCTGATACCGTCATCAACCTTGCAACAAGGTGATAACAACTTGATCAGGACTTGTCACAACAACTGGGAACAAGCAGTGCGAACATATATCCTCATGATACAGGCTTGACAACAACATTGTTGCATATCTGTAACAGCGTCCGCGATTTTATGTGTGCAGGCCAAGCCTGACTGCCTGAGGTCGACCAAAGTTTGTTTACACTACCAAAATGTTGGCCAAACCAACTGTAAACACAGCTGAAGAGGTATTTTCTGTTCCATCTTATGACATTTTGCTTTTTTTTTAGAACCTACTAACATGTTGGATTTGAATGCCATCATTTGGCTGGAAAACTATTTACAGGTGCGTCAGTGCACATGTGTTACTTTGAGTATAATTAAAATTGTGACGGACTTTTTAATTTTTAACGGTTATTTAATTGTTATAAGACTGTGTTGAAAGAGTAAATCGGGCAAAAATATATACAAACAAATTATACTCTTTCCTTGCTTCGAGTACGTGTAACACAATTGTGATCAGGTGATAAAAATAAACCAATCAGATGGATTTAGTCAAAACAAACAGAAAATGTAAATCACTTGCAGAAGATATGATAGACATGAATTTTTGAAAAGCATCAAGTAATGTAGTTTTACTGAAATATACAGCCAGTGAAAAATGCAGTAAACATATTTAATAAACTTAATCAATACACATGCATGTTCTTTTTGTTGGGAGGCCCTTCAAAGATTTTCCCTTTGAATAGGAGCCCCAGCTTATAAGAGGGGGATTGTTTGAAACTAATTGAAAGGGGATGTTAAATAAAACGCTATAGTGCATGTCAGGTGCATAGATTGCAGCGTATACAACTACCTAAAAAATATAAAGTGAACTTCGACGTTCTTCGGGTCCTTCGTTGGAGTTCAAATTATGTTTTTGTGTTAATAGAGGATTTGCGGTAAAGAATTTCACGTATTTAGCAGTCGGGATCAAGTTCATGCAGGAACCCATGCATACAAAATATACATAAGTAAATTCTGATCAATATTTGTTTTCATAGAAATGGCCGTCAACTTTACTGGTAGTTTCTCACGACAGAAATTTCCTCGATGTTGTGTGTTCAGACATAATTTATATGCATTCTACAAAACTGGACAGCTACAAAGGAAATTATGAGGTAAACTATTTACATTTAGTGTATTCAAAAAGGTTTGATGGATAAAAGTGCCAATAACACGCGTAAAAACCTCACATATATGCAGCTTGTCAACGAGATGTGTTCGCACTGCTTGTTTCCAGTTGTTGCCAAGTCTGGAACAAGTTGTTATCATGTTGTAAGAAGGTTGATGGGGCCAACAGACTCGCAACAAATTGTTCCAACAAATCTCATATATCGTTTGCACTGAACAAGTTGATGACAACAAGCTTGTAGCAACTTGTTCGAACATGCAGCCAGTATTCGTTTTGTTGGAACAAATTTGTAGCAAGTCTGTTACCGTCATCAACCTTGTAACAAGGGGATAATAATTTGTTCCAGACTGGGGCGGCGTAAAGTTGTAACCACACCAACTTGGCAATAAGCAGGGAACAAGCAGTGCGAACATATCCCAGTTGTTGCATGTTGATTACAATGCTAAAGATGCTAGTCATTTATGGAAGATTTTCAACTAATATTTTTAACAAATAATTAAAATATAAGTAATTGCTTTGACTCTTGGGGTGACATGTAAAGTTGACGAATATATTTCTCTTTGCAGACATTTTTCAAGACGAAGACAGAGAAGTTAAAGAACCAACAACGAGAATACGAGGCGCAACAACAATACAGAGAACATTTACAGGTAAATTTGAACTTCCAATTTTAACTGGATAGTTCTAAAACCATTTGCAACCAAACGTATAATCGAATATCAGTTATTTAATTAACCGTATAGCTTGCTTTGAACTTTAGCGCCGGGTGAATTTTGAAAGGGGCTTATTTGAGAAGTGAGCCTAATAAATGTCGCAAATGTAATCACTAATAAAGAAAGGAGATCTAGATTTATTGTTCTTCTATTATGCTATACTTACACTATATACCTGAGAATATTGATAGATTTTATAAACATAATCTACGGTATATATACGTATATGTTACTATCCATAAACAATTCATAGAATGTATAGGTACCCGGTTATTTATTTATTTGTTACATTGATAACACGTTTTATCCGTTTCAGGCTTTTATCGATCGATTTCGATACAATGCAAACAGAGCTGCACTGGTTCAAAGTAAAATCAAAATATTGGAAAAACTGTAAGTGTAGAAAATGTTGAAGTTCTTCTCAAGTTATTGTAGGTTTATTCTAAACCATCTAAATCTATGGTGTACTTTTTCGTTTTCAGT